CTGAGATAAGTGAGATTTTACAGCGTCATCATCATTAAAAGTTTTACCACGAAGGGAGTTGTCCAGGGATCGAAATAAGTGGTAATCCGATGGCGCGAGATCAGGGCTATATGGTGGGTGTAACATCGATTCCCAACCAACATCCATCAATTTTTGCCGAGTGGACAAAGACGTGTGCGGCCTAGCATTGTCCTGCTGGAAAATGGCACCTTTACGATTGACCAATTCTGGTCGCTTTTCCTTGACCGCTGCATTCAATTTGTCCACTTGCTAACATTCACGGATAATAAAAAATAACATAATAATAATAATAATAATAATAATAATAATAATTTTATAATATAACATTTACGGATATCATAAAAATGGGAATGAGAGACATCTGTAACTGAAATCGGAAATTACTTAGTTGCCAACTCAGTAGATAAAAAGAGAGCACGACACTGCTACCGATGGATCAAAATCAACTGTTCCGTGAAACGTGGAGCTTCAACGGCCAGTTCATTTTAATCCAACTCTATACATGACAGCCTCGCATAATCCGAAAGCCAACAAAGTGCGAAGGCGCGTAAAACGAATTATTGAAACCCGACCGATCGCGTTTTGAATAATATAATCGCATCTTTTCGACAGACGTCCATCATACTTATTGCAGAGAGTGTCCTGTTACTAAAAAAGACACACTGCTACATATCCTATTATTTAATTTCTTTATTTTAATATTTCAGGTGTGATCGTCGTAGGATCTCAACAATTTGGTTCTGAATCGCAACGGATGACATGCCCCCGATGTCGTGCAGAAATTTCCACGCGAGTAGAGACCGAATCAAATACGAAAACTCATTTGTTTGCGCTGCTTCTTTGTGTATTCGGGTAATTATATTACAAATATTATTTTTAACTCGAACTAACATGATAGATTTTCGTCGTACGGTTACAAAAACCATTGAAAATGAAATTTTATTCAATTTCTGCTTCTTTAGTCGAGCTAGAATCATTTCAGGGAAAGTTAATTTAATTAATATTATTTATATAATTTATATATATAATATATTTATTTTATTATAATTACTTATTTATTATATTTTATTTAATTATAATTATATATATAATTTTTATATAATTTAATTATTATTATTGCAGATTATGGTGTTGCGTTCCCTGTCCATACTGTATTAACAGCTGCATGACGCAAAACCACTACTGTCCATCGTGCGGCACATTCTTAGGAAAGTGTGAAAATTAATTCCATGCTGACATCTGCCAAAGTATAAACGACGATGTTCACGCGTAACCGCGTGGGGTAATTACATCAAAAACACGAAGAAAATGCCTTGTTTTTTTATCGTTTGACGAAGATACCAAAAGCTGTTAAAAATTATGATGTATTTTTACAACAGAAGTTGTCCGTACGAGGCACGCACACGTTCTACGAACGTAGAACACTTACTCGACGAATCGGAGACTCCTAAGAACAATGCTACTTGTTATTTTTTTATAAATACTTAAATATACAATCCCACAAGTATGCTTAAAAGGCCAGAGTCGCGCGAACGTCAAATCGACGGACGTTTGTTGTCCCTCTTTGTTTCAATAATGATAAGCAAGGGAGATTTGTCCTTGTTTTTATCTTGAAACACAAGGAAAGATCGTCAACGTCCGTTTCTTCGATGCTCGTGTGACTCTGACCTAAGACCGTGACTGCATAGACGTTTTGTATGCTGCGATCAATAATCGCATGTGACAAATGATATTTTTGACGCCGCTCTTTGTACGCAGCGTACTAAACACTGTATAAAGTGCCCGTGTAGTCACACCCTAAGATCATGTGAATCTTAGTTTGTACTGAACAGAATTGGGGTAATGTTTAATCCACCTACGTATTAATGACTACAATTGAAATATTTCTTTGTAAATCGCAATCAACGATTATATTTTCTTGTGTAATCACAATTAACTGAAGCAACTATTTAATTATCGATTAGTTCGACAATTAAATTAGTTATTTGATTCGGTTAATGCCCAACTCTGATCCTGCGTTAGTATTTTTATACATAGTTACCATTACGCAACAACGTGCATTTATCTTGACGATCTCATTCAAGAGATCGGGAATTCATTCGTTCATTCTTTTATCTTTAGTTTATCTATTTAAACATACTATTGATTAGTATGTATAAATAATGTTTGACAGTGTTCTTTTGAAAAAATGTATAACTATTTTCAATCTGTTACACGACAGAATGTTGCACAAAATTCACTTTTGAATTATTTTCAAATGAAAGTGTGTATATATATATTCCAATGAAATTTGTATACGCGATGTTATTGATATCAAACTGTTTATTTATACAACATCAATATAATAAAATACAAAATGGCTCTGATACTTAATTATACCTATACTGATAAATCTATAGAGGGCAGTAATTAAATTAATCTAGTTATTGTTCCTTCAAGAGTAATTCGTATAAGAACCTGATTTATTATTCTCAAACAAATTTATGTACAACAGCTCCTCTTTTTATGTTGCTGAATGGCAGTATACATGATCAAGACTCGACAAAAGTTTATCGACTTTTAACGATATGCAAAAAAATAGGCTGCAAAATTGTTAACACATATGTACAATTATTTTGTATCGTTTATTCGTAGATCCACTTCTCCGCCCAAGAAGACCAATCAACGACATCTTGTTTCTTGTTCTCTCCGAACCATAAGTTAATTTCTTTGTTTGCAGACTCCACAGAATCTGATCCGTGAATAATGTTGCGTCCAACCTGAATGCAAAAATCTCCACGTATTGTTCCAGGTGCCGAGTCTTTCGGATTTGTTTCTCCAAGCATCACACGACCAGTTTTTACTACGTCTAAGCCCTCCCATACCTGGAAGACATTAAGTAAATTTACTCCAAAATATTCGGGTACAAATATATTGTACAAAAAAAAATTATTACCATAGGCACAACGGGTCCAGAACCCATGTATTTAACTAAGCCTGGGAAGAAGGGCCTGCTCGCCAAATCTCCGTAGTGTTCTTTCAACAAGTCCTGGGTTGCCTGGCAAATATAAATTGCAATATTTGATCAGATATATTTCATTCTCAGTTTTATCTCTGGGCTATGTGCCAATATTAATTTCCAACTGATCAATTAACAATCTTTAATTCGCCTTAACGTTTCTGCGAACGGTCATTAAACGATTTAATTACCTCTTTTTAAACAAATAATTTAAGTTCTTTTAAATACGCGAATTAGTTATCAGAATGCTACAGTAGGTAACAGACGAAGTACCAATTGAATCAAAATGACTACAGTTCTATTAGCACAGTTCGCATGAACACAGAATTGTGTGCGGACTATTCAGGAAGAGTAGACCGTCGTTCAGACCATTTCATCTTGACGGAAAAGATTACAATGTCAGGGTAAGCTGGAAACGATGATCGCGAGACTAATTACAGTTGCAAAAACGCGACAGGTGTGTTCGCATATGCAGCGCAAGAAACCAGAATCCACGTGGCCAACGAGATAACTGCATATGAGTATGCGCGTTTTTTTCACACAGAGGTTAACTCAGGGCTGATCACATTAATCATGTATCTACTTACCCAAACCATTTTCATTGCAACGAGCTTGAAGCCTTTATCTTCGAAACGTTGAATTATCTTTCCGACGAGTCCACGCTGGACACCGTCCGGCTTCACCATAATGAAAGTACGCTCCTTGTTCTCGGCCATAATTAATTTGCAAACTAAACGAAATAAGATCAAGACAGAACACAGAACCATGCAACGCCGGCAAGAGCAACGAAAGTATGAGAACGAAGAAGCGGCTCGAGGCAGTATGCACTCGTTCGTTTCGTTTCTCTTCTGCAAGAATGGTGGGGTGACAACGCTACATCCGGTGTCATTATATCTAGTGGCGGAACGTTCGAACTATTGAACGATGTGACCGACAGAGCAGTTGTCGATAATTTTGGCTAATAGTTCCAGCATTTCCCGGCTACGCGCATCGGCGCTGTACGAACCTTGAAGAGAGTTTCTTGAATTCTACACGAGGGGAGCTTGTATAGCAGAAGCGGCAAAAATTATGTTATCTTTATGTTTAACGAGATAAATAAACTTTTCTTTACAGGATATAGATATAAGAGATTCTCTTGAATATTTCTGTCACCTTTAAATATATTTTTAACCCTTGAATTGACAAAAATCACATATCATTTTCCGTTCACGTATTCTCGATATGGCTGACTCGGTAAGAATCATCTATGCATAGCCGTAACAAGAAAAAAAAGGTCTAAACGTTTGTTGAATTATCGAGGTTATGCTCTATTTACACTGCTATTTGAATGTACAGGTCTTGTTCGTTTTTGATAATGTTATAATATTGGATAAAGACCATGGAAGAACATTTTGCAACAATGAAACTGGGAGAATCGGACTGTGATACTACTAAATTGACCAGAGCTTTTAGTTTTTCGGAACTACCTTCACCTCAACGAATACGTGTAACGGAGTCTTATCAATCCGGGAATTCTCCTGGCTTAGTTAGACAATACAGTTGCGAACAAATCTTTGGGCAAACTGGAAATTCTAGGTAGAATGAAATGTTTGCTTCAGTTAAGTAAGAGAACGCAAAGCTTTATTCTTAATTTATACAGTTGTACTTTGTTTTTAGACGATACACAGTGTCAGAAGTAATTTCATGTAGAAATAACGAAAGCAGAAACGAATGGCAGAAAACGATATCTTATTCAGATGCATTTAAAACACCTAATTGGCAGCTATACGACAATAAGGTACTAAGAAAGTCAAATCTTGTGTCGCATAAAATAACGAAGGATGTAGAACACATGGAAATCGATCATGTAGACACTGTAAAAGGACATACTCCTCCACCCGATGATCTCAAAATAGATACCAATACAAACAATGATCCAGTGCCCGTGCCGCTTGAAAATAAACAAGTCGACGCTGAGAAAGTAAAGAACATAAATTCTTATGAAGATGTTAAAAAGAAACTAAGACCACTAGTTGCATCGAAGGTTAAAGTTCCAGTTAAGAAAAGAAGAAATATGTTTTGCCGCGGTTTAACGTGTCTGTGCATCCTACCGATTATCGTAGGAATAATTGCTCTTTTATTGAATCCCGTTTCGTACCCTGTTTGCAACCGTATGTCGTGGTCTGAGAATATCGCTGTCGAACTAGAAGAAAAATTACATGGACAAACAAACGCGATCAAAAATATTGTTCATACTTTGCGAAACGACGTTGATCGTCTGAAGGCCGTGTGTCTGGTAGGTGGAACAGGCATTGGAAAATCCTACACTACCGAAATTATTTTGAAGAACTTCCCAAAGAAAGAAAAGATATTTGTACTCGATGCGACAGTAGGACACGAACTTTATGATAAAACCAGGCCTGCGATCGATTCTTTCGAGGTGCTGGTCGTAGACAATTTGAAGATGGTAGATTTGGATGGATTTGTTCATCTGTTAAGTAAACTGAAACAGATCAACGACACTTGCATCACAGTGATCGCGATGTTTAACGTAGAAAATGTGAACGACCAATTAGCACGGGAGATAGACTTAACGAAAAGTGTCGATGAAATTAGTCAAGCGTTCGCTGATAAAATGATCGATGTGTCTGTTGTGCCGTACGAGCCCTTGACCGAATCTGCATTGAAAATGTGCATAGCAGATGCAGCGACCTACAGTGATTTAAATCTTTCGGAGGATCAAACAAATGAAATTCTGCAAATTTTATTGTCATCGCATGCCGGTTGCAAAGGAGCTTATGCCAAAGTGCAACTTATTGGTCGAGGGTAAATTTGTGTTTTTTGTTTTTCAAACGATCTCTCTATTTGCTGTTTAAACTGTTATTATACTTATTACACGTACTGTGATTGCTGATTAAAATCTTCGAACGGCTCTCCTAATGAAAAAGGTTCTGACTGCGACACCGTTCGTTGCTAAATGCGTTTGAATGAATAGACTGTTGCATTTCTTAGTGATACAGGGTGGAGTATGTAACTAAAGCTCCGATCTAATTTAAGTTTAAACAAACAGACTCGATGTTCGCGAAGCTATTCAAGCTTCCATCGAAATATATTATTCATTAAAATAACTGTTCACGATATAATCGAAGCTATTCCAGTTGTTGCATGATCCACCCCATATATGTATTGTTCCTTCTATACCATGTTTTTTATGGAGCGTGCGGTGGTACGGTTTGCGTACGTTTTGAATTTTGATAGAATATAAAATGTGTTTATTATTTTTGAACCGCGAAACGATTTCCGGAGGAAATTAAAATGTACGTCGCGATACGATAACGAGAGAAATAAAATGTACCGAATACTACTTGTTACGAATCCTTTTCGTCCGTCTCGTCCATTTAATGCGCACGCATCGTTAAAATCCTTTCACGCACGTAATTTCTCCATCCGCGGCCGGAACATACCTGCGGCTTATAGTCGCATTTCACTTTCCGATTGTAACTGTCCGAGTAGCATTGCGTGTCAAAACTAAGAAAACAGTCCAGAACTAAGGATTACGTGTACTTAGGCCGATGTTATTGCTATCGTTATGCAAAACCGTGATCATCTGCGTGACTATGTCGACGGTGAAATGCATGTAGCAGTCCTCGATTCCACATCTTTTACTGCTTCGACTAGGATTAATCACGGTGCTGTGATTCCACAGATAGCATCGACATGAAAAATGCAAACTACAATCGAAACGTTAATCCCTTGACTTAACATTAGATTGCGGATCTCTGTGCACGAGCTTCCCTTCGTTCGCGAAATAAATCGCAAAGCGAAGGGTTGATTAGAGTAGATCCTTAATCCCTTGGCATACTTCAACGACTCCGGCTTGTCGTGAAAATGTCTAATAATAACTCATCGAGTATACAGTGATTTCACCCTAATTGCGTCTCGTTTTTATAGTTGTTGACAATCGGTAAGCATAAAAACGAGCCGCAACTCTTCCCAAATTTTTGAGCGCGAAATTCCTAATTCTGTATTTGTGCGCGATCTGAGCGCGAATTAGGAAGAAATTGCTGTAAATGTTATTATGACCTTTAAAATTGCAATAAAATTCTAATCTCTTATCAATATTTAAGCCATTCAAATAGATTTAGGCACACGGTAAGCATCAATTTTCTTTCCCTTTTAACACTTCCACGACCGCGCTAGAAAGCTCAAAAATTTTCATAAAGTTAAAATATTTCATTCGATTAAACAAAAATTATGAAGCAAACTTATATGGCATCGATTACTTCTTCAGCATTCGTACCTCTTGCAAATCTTAATAAAATGAAGCAATCATTTTTAATTTTTCATTAATCATCCATTCGGTCGTCNGGTTGATTAGAGTAGATCCTTAATCCCTTGGCATACTTCAACGACTCCGGCTTGTCGTGAAAATGTCTAATAATAACTCATCGAGTATACAGTGATTTCACCCTAATTGCGTCTCGTTTTTATAGTTGTTGACAATCGGTAAGCATAAAAACGAGCCGCAACTCTTCCCAAATTTTTGAGCGCGAAATTCCTAATTCTGTATTTGTGCGCGATCTGAGCGCGAATTAGGAAGAAATTGCTGTAAATGTTATTATGACCTTTAAAATTGCAATAAAATTCTAATCTCTTATCAATATTTAAGCCATTCAAATAGATTTAGGCACACGGTAAGCATCAATTTTCTTTCCCTTTTAACACTTCCACGACCGCGCTAGAAAGCTCAAAAATTTTCATAAAGTTAAAATATTTCATTCGATTAAACAAAAATTATGAAGCAAACTTATATGGCATCGATTACTTCTTCAGCATTCGTACCTCTTGCAAATCTTAATAAAATGAAGCAATCATTTTTAATTTTTCATTAATCATCCATTCGGTCGTCAACCGACTGAATTTAAAACGGGGAGATCTCCCCGTTCGATTGGCTAAGCGTTAAGAAATTGCGAACGAAAAATTTCTAATCGCAGTAACTGCGAAGAAAATGGTACATCAAGGGGTTAAAATATTCTTAAAAGAGCCTTTGATACTGCCCCTATCAAGGGTGACTCGGTAATCTTTCAAAAATCAAAGACAGATCTCTCAACGAATAGTTCATTATCTCAAGTGGCATTGTTTAATTATTTCTTTCGGAATTTTTTCTCGAGATCGAAAACGATTCAATTTTTTCTCGACATAGTGGCGTGATTGAGAAGCGTTATTAATAATTATCAAGAAGCAAACAGTAAGTGGCACTGTTTAATCATTTCTTTCGGAATTTTCTCTGGAGAACGAAAACGATTCAATTTTTTCTTGACATAGTGGCGTCATTGAGAAGCGTTATTAATAATTATCAAGAAGCAAACAGTAAGTGACACTGTTTAATCATTTCTTTCGGAATTTTCTATCGAGATCGAAAACGATTCAATTTTTTCTTGACATAGTGGCGCGATTGAGAAGCCCGTTAATAATTATTAATTATCAAACAATAAATGGAATTTAAGAAAATTCAGGAATAACGACGTTCTACGAAGAGGGATGTATGACGTAATTCGAGAATTTTTGTTAAGTAGCTGGCCAACGGCGCGTAGAAAGAAGACATCGTTATGAAATTAACCAGCATTGTGGTTCGTTTAGGCGGACGGGAGGTGATACCTGTCGCGAGGCGTATATAAAAGCGAGACAATTAGGTAAATCGAGTTATTCCGTGGCTGCACCGGGAAGCATAATCACGAAACGATTCTCTGGAGGACGCTCGTGGATTTTGTCATTCGCTTGCCGAAACAGAGTCTCGACAGCAATCGCGACAGTGGGAATTGACCCTCGAAGGGTGCTGGCAAGTCGCTCGACCGCGAGAACTCCGGAGGTGGAGCTAGAAGAAAGGTGCGACTGGAAATTATAAAAGAGCGATCGGCGGTCAAGAGGAGACAGTCTCCTTCAAGTGTTCACCTGCGCGACTACGATTCGGGTATGTCAATTTTCGTTTTACTACCATACTCGCGGATGCTCGCTTCGAATTTTACGTCGACGTTATTCTTGCTCGAGAGAAGAAATTATTTCTCATTCCCTTTCGAGAATAACAATTTAACCTTAAGATTGGCAGAAAAAAAGAAAAAAGTAGTTCGTTAAAATTTGTTACAATACTCGAATTAAAATTAAAGTTAGTTACAATACTCGACAATATTTACGATATCTCAACTCGATCGTATATTTTTCGTTAACTTCGATCGTTAAAAAGACACAGGGAAATAGTCTACAAAGTTCGTCGATTGTACATCATTACGAGTGCATTTTCTTACGTTAGCCATTTCGTTCGTTTCGATGTCGCAAAAATGTTTGAAGAAGACGTCCTCAAATTTTCTCGAATCGCGACGAGAAACGGCGGTTTTCCGAGCGATCAAAAGAATTCGCGGAAGTAAGGATACACGCACAGTAATGTCTCCCTTACTGACGCTCAGATTGTCCACAAAAATGGACAATTTTTAGAGAAGATTATCCGAGCCTTGCTACTCGTTTTTATAATTGTTGACAATTTATAACTATAAAAATGAACCGCAAGGTTCGAATAATCGTATCTCCTCTTCCCAAATTGTCAATTTTTGTGCACAATCTGAGCGTCAGTAAGGGAGACATAACTGTACCTCCTAACTTTTTGCGCTCGTTTCGCGATTCCAATTCACGATTATTCGAGCCTTGCGGCTCGTTTTTGTAATTGTGGACAATCTATAACTATAAAAATAAACCGCAAGGTTCGAATAATCCTATCTCCTCTTCCCGAATTGTCCATTTTTGTGCCCAATTTGAGCGTCAGTAAGGGAGACATAACTATACCTCCTAACTTTTTGCGCTCGTTTCGCGATTCCAATTCACGATTATTCGAGCCTTGCGGCTCGTTTTTGTAATTGTGGACAATCTATAACTATAAAAATAAACCGCAAGGTTCGAATAATCCTATCTCCTCTTCCCGAATTGTCCATTTTTGTGCCCAATTTGAGCGTCAGTAAGGGAGACATAACTATACCTCCTAACTTTTTGCGCTCGTTTCGCGATTCCAATTCACGATTATTCGAGCCTTGCGGCTCGTTTTTGTAATTGTGGACAATCTATAACTATAAAAATAAACCGCAAGGTTCGAATAATCCTATCTCCTCTTCCCGAATTGTCCATTTTTGTGCCCAATTTGAGCGTCAGTAAGGGAGACATAACTATACCTCCTAACTTTTTGCGCTCGTTTCGCGATTCCAATTCACGATTATTCGAGCCTTGCGGCTCGTTTTTGTAATTGTGGACAATCTATAACTATAAAAATAAACCGCAAGGTTCGAATAATCCTATCTCCTCTTCCCGAATTGTCCATTTTTGTGCCCAATTTGAGCGTCAGTAAGGGAGACATAACTATACCTCCTAACTTTTTGCGCTCGTTTCGCGATTCCAATTCACGATTATTCGAGCCTTGCGGCTCGTTTTTGTAATTGTGGACAATCTATAACTATAAAAATAAACCGCAAGGTTCGAATAATCCTATCTCCTCTTCCCGAATTGTCCATTTTTGTGCCCAATTTGAGCGTCAGTAAGGGAGACATAACTATACCTCCTAACTTTTTGCGCTCGTTTCGCGATTCCAATTCACGATTATTCGAGCCTTGCGGCTCGTTTTTATAATTGTTGACAATCTATAACTATAAAAATAAACCGCAAGGCTCGAATAATCGTATCTTCTCTTCCCAAATTGTCCATTTTTGTGCCCAATTTGAGCGTCAGTAAGGGAGACATAACTGTACCTCCTAACTTCTTGCGCTCGTTTCGCGATTCCAATTCACGATTATTCCGCGCCTTGCGGCTTGTTTTTATAATTGTTGACAATTTATAATCATAAAAACGAGCCGCAAGGCTCGAATAATCTCCTCTTCCCAAATTGTCCATTTTTGTGAACAATCTGGCCGTCAATTAGAGAGACACCGCTGTATCTCTTTAACTCGAAGGATGTGACGCGTGGCTCCAATTGTAATCCGACGTACTCTAATCACGAACATCGGTGATTCGGTTATTCATCGATTCGACGCGAGCAGAATTTCGAATCGAATGCCGCGTGTAGCGACCTTGTGTTCAACAATCGAAGATTTTAAAGGTCAAGAGTGCGGCGAGCGTCGACGTCCTTTATTAAAACACTAACGTGGCCATGGCTTAGCGAGAGAACATCGACGGAGGCGCGCGTTTCGAGAGGTTTTTTCGGCACGTTAAAATGTAATTTTCCAGGAAGTAGACGCGAACGCTGGCCACAAACGGATTAACGATTCGCGCTGTATCGTATAACTCGCTCGTTGCGCAACGCGTCGCATTTCGGGGACTTCGGTGAACAAAGTACATATTCTCCGAGCGTAGTAGAATCCTTCGCGAGAACTTCGTCGACCGACTCGAAAAACATTCTGGAAAGTTCAGTCCCGCGTAAAGAGAGGAAAAAAAAAGAATTGAGCGCTCGGTCATGCGAAAATTGCCTCGGACTCGTGTTACGCGTGTTCTGACGCGCGAGGAAATTGTTGCGTTCGGGGCGAACGGTGATTGATGCCAAAGAAAAGAACTCGAAGAGTAATAATCTCATAAGTAGCACTTTCTACGCGGAAGACGCCTGCCGCGTTCACCTTCCCGATTGCTCGGTTCCACGGTTGCCCCGTAACCTGATTAGCGTTACGTTCATTCAAAGCTAAGCGTCGCGCGAATCTTTTATTACGGAACGTTTATTACGGAACGCAGCCCGGTTCGCGTTAATGGAAACGCGATTCGCTGTCGCGATGACGAAAGCCGGCCTTCCCCTGTTGCATACTGGACATCGAGACGTGGACTTCCCTGTTGCGTATTGGATAATCGAGGGCCGTGCATCTTTTTAACGGATGACTATGCACGCCAAGCTTGCAGAACAACCGGCCTCGGGAGCCCTTGGGACGCCGTCGATGGCCTCTGGGCTTCTTTGTACTTTCTTCCATTCCGACGCAGACAATGAATAATTTCGTATTCGTTCGATTAACATCTGTATTTA